GCCCTGACTTAGATCAGCCCAGAAGTTGTTTCAGAGTTCGATCTGTGAGTTAGCCATGCCCTGACTTAGATCAGCCCAGAGGTTGTTTCAGGGTTCCATCTGYGAGTTAGCCATGCCCTACTGACTTAGATCAGCCCAGAGGTTGTTTCAGGGTTCGATCTGTGAGTTAGCCATGCCCTGACTTAGATCAGCCCAGAGGTTGTTTCAGAGTTCAATCTGTGAGTTAGCCATGCCCTGACTTAGATCAGCCCAAAGGTTGTTTCAGGGTTCCATCTGTGAGTTAGCCATGCCCTGACTTAGATCAGCCCAGAGGTTGTTTCAGGGTTTATATCTTTCAGCCTCAGCTAACCTTGTTCATCTTGAATGGCACATTGTGTAAACATGTCAGTACCCATTTGCTTAGCACTTGCAGATCTATCACGATGAAAATAATGAGACTGAAAAAACTTTGTCCAGAATTCTTTTTCTGTCATCTGAAATAATAATAACAATAATGATGATGATGACGATGATTATGATGATGCTGATGGCTTAGAATACATTGCTTGTGATGTTGATAAATGATCATTTATATAAAATTAATGTACATGTTTAGAATACCTTATCAGGAACAGATTCTGCATGTCTCTTTTTAACTACACCAAAAAAAAAAAAAGATGCAAAAAGTGATGATTAAAATTTACAGAAACCTTAATAAAAACAAAAAGTGGATTTGATTACTTAAACTCAGTTTGCAAGTACAGCATGAGTGTACTGATGCAACGATAAGAGGCTCTCCCTTAATATGAAGGTTTTTAACTACTAAATTCCAATATGATCATTGGAGTAGGGCCACAGGTTTGTTAGCCACTGCCTGTTAAAAACAAACTTGTCATCGCTTACCACCACCGCAAAGTGTAGTAGTGGCGCAGCTCAACAGTTAAACGGGAAACATATTAAGTGCTACACTCGTATTAACGGTAACCGGTCTTTTCAATCCACAGTCATTTTGATCCAGGTCGTTTTGATCCACAATTGAAAAAGAAAAGTCAAGAAAAGTCTGGGAAGCACTGGTGGCGTGAGCTGCTAATGCGCCACCTCTCACCAATGCGGCCCGAGTTTGAGTCCTGCCGATCTTGATGTCATATGTGAGTCCGGGTCCTCCGGTTTTCCTCCCTCCTCAAAAATCAACTTCTAAATTTTAATTCGATCTCTGGGCTTTCACTTAATTTGGAGTCTAGCTCAGTTGTGATTGTCCCATGCTGTGATACGACAGCGAAAAGATTTGTAGATTTTTTTTTTCAGATTTCAATCCACTATCTATAACTATTCGATCCACTTACAAACAGTGCTAGTTTTCTTATTTACATTTATTTTAGTAGGTGAATGATTGATTGCTCGCAAAACCATGCGACATACATACCTGCCGGATAGGTTTTGAATATTGACTCAATAGTGTCAGCATTCAAGTTGTATTTAACTTCATTACATCCTGAGCTCTCTGGCTGGACATCCCCCTACAGGTATCGTACAGAAGACATACATTATTACTGTACATTTGTTGTTGAGACCTTAGAAACACCGTTGTTGCACCACAAACACAGTCAAAAGAACTGCATGATGCACACTCTAATGCAAATAGAAGTACATATCAACAAAGGAAATGCAAGTCACTGACAACATTAATATGCATACAATAGCAAGTCCCCATTATGAGGTACTCACCAATAGATTTGAAGACAATCCAACTGATTGAATATCACTATCATCCTCTTTAAGAGATCTAACTACCTGAAGCAAAAAATTGAAATAAAAAATTAAAAACATAAATTAAATTAAATTTTWAAAATATTAAAAGAAAAGAAAAATAAATAAAAAAATAAAAGAAAATAGCTAAGTTGACAAAGGTTTTCAGTAATAGTATTTCAAGACATCAATATTTTAAAAATAGTTTACAGTGCCACATGCAAAAGTATAATCGGTGATAATGATGCATTATGCACAGGCTTTTGTGCTTTAATACACCAACACATCTCCATGCAAAGCTGCCTGGTTTTATAAAATAAGGTGTGTAATAGCTTGTTTGCCAGCAAAAGGTTTATATATTGAAGTATGTGATATGCCCTATTTATTGTTTATGTGTACTGTAAGTCTTCAAAATTGAAAATATTTTCACTGGTCTCAAACATAGTTCATGTGGACATCTGAAACACAGCGAAGGTCTAACCATTTGTAGATATTTTTAAGCAAGGGAAGCACCTCCTATATATCCCTTGGACTCAGTCTCAAGAGGAATTGTTCTGGCAGACAAAACAATGATTGTTTTTTTTTTGGCATAGGAAAAGATGGCCTATTGTTTGTCCCCAAGAACAATCCCTCTAGGAGAGTGCACACAGGTATTCTCTATTTCTTTTCAAGGAGTCTTACAATTGTCAATGCAAATTCAAGGTCATTTTTATAAAAATAGAGGACTTTTCAAGGACAAATTACAAAAAAGAGTAAAATTCAAGTGTAGTTTTCAAGTAATACTTCAAAGCCGACAATGAGGACTGGACAGGATTTCAAGTCCGCGCGATTAGTTCCAGTCCAAGGTGCAGGACTGAATTAATTTTGTTCCAGTTACTCCAGACTGAATGCATTCCTTTCACAGCACTTTACCAGGTTTCAAGTAACATCATGTGACCCAAAAATAGCCCATTGATTGGCTGGTTTACTCATGAATTATTAATGAGTATGAGAAGGAACTGTCCAATTCAAGGAGTTTTCAASGAACTGTGTGCAACCTGTCTAGGAAATCAATGTAAGGGTTCTGTTCACAGATATCTGAAGAGCTAAGTGAATAATTAAAATGATCTAACCTTTCCTCTGTTGGCCCAAAATTCTTCAGATGTTATGACACCACTGACAACAAGATCTTTATATAGCTGGTATATGTCTGGATTTTCTTTTAGTATCCTGAAGATGATTGACATGACAAAATGTTACCATGGAAACCAAATGATTAATATTACTACCATGATATCAAATGCATTTCACCCCTTCCCTATATATCCTAATTGCTACAGAGATTGTTAGCTAGGCCGTTGTCTGCATGGTTAAAACTATTAATGAAGGTAAGATAGACTAAACACTGTTAACATTACAGTTTTGATAATCTGCAAACTCGTTAGTTTTATTTAGCTGCATGCTGAATTTTCTTTTCTTTTTTTGCTGCTGTCAATCAAAAATAATCAGTCAGTACGGTCTCTTACATTTTTGACTGGCAGCACAACAAGCCGTTGAAAAATCTGACTTCACAGAGTATCTGCATTAAATCTTCAAAAAGATAGACCTTGATCTCGGTGTGTTACAGTGAAGACACTCGAACCATGAACTCTTGACTTCATTCATATTTTTATTTTTCAAGCATTTTACTGCTTCAAATTAAACCCCCTAAAAAAGTAGGATTGAACTCAAATATGCTATGAGATCAAAAGATAACTTATTTCTAAATGATTCACTCAAGGGATGCATGTTAAAAAAAGTAATAAAGAAGCTCAAAATGTTTGTGGTTAGAGTGTCCTCACTGTAAATCTTACTTGTTTTTCTCCTCTAATTCCTTGGTTGCTTTCATACGGTGTGCCGGTATCAACTGAGCCAGTAATTCCTTGACTTCATCTCGTTCCTGTCTTGCTTTTGGCTCAGAAGTGTTGGTAAAATGAAAGCTATAGGAGCTACCATCATGTAAAACAATCTGAAGCTGAACCTTGGAACTGCCGTCAGGACTTATTCTTTGAACTGAAAAGAATAAGAATTAATTCAAAATATTCTTTTTGTCATTTTGATGCTAATGTAATTGTCCTTGTTTTAATTTAGTAGAGAGAATAAGAGAAAAATATCAAATGCCCTAGGAGGGAATTGAACCCACGTCTTCAGTATTCTAGTCCGATGTGTTAACCACTACACTACAAGGACCAACCACGCTGGTAACGCAGCCGGAATATGAAATGTATTAATTAAAAAAGAATTTTCCTTGTTTTACAAGTGTAGCACTTAATAGCCAGCTAACAAACTTGTGGCCCTGATCCATGAAAAACCTTTGAAGCAGATAAGAGAAGCAACTCTACCCACTTATGACTCCCAGTCTGGCAGGTATTTGGAATAAAAAATCCCATAGGTAATCATAAATGTGCTTGCTGATTGACTAGAGATAATGTACAAAAGCAGGTATTTCATGTAGAATAACAAAAAATCAGGGATCCCACCTTAAATTTTGCATTAAATCTTAATCAAAACACCAAATAATGTGAAAACTACTTAAAAAACAAAGACAACTACTTAATAAAATCTATTTTCAATCTTTTTGCATGGAATTCCCTTATCTGCGAATGAATTTTAGGCACCTTTCAATTTTAAGCCCCTGGGTGGGAAGTGGGGGAAAGGGAAATTTGACATTTTGATTACGAAATTTTCAAATTCTCCACCCCTGGATAATTGGTGAAAGTTAAATTCCCACACTTAGTAAAATATGTTTATTGTATTTTCTGGCTTTTTCAAGACGGCAGTCATGTCAAACTCCCTACTACTGTGGGGGCATTGAACAATATCAATCAATTCCCCTGGGATCGCCCCCCCCCCCCCTCCCCATCCCTGTGGCTTTTTATAACACTGATAGGTGCATTACTATAAATTTATCAGTAGTTTATTTGGTCCAACCGTCGATAATTCAACCCACGACCTTCTGCACAAAAGTCAGTTGCATACATATATATTTAAGTCATGACTTTATTACTTAAATCAAGAAAAACATATTAAACACATGTACTGTTCTTTTATTTAGCCGTACTGATAGCACAATCAAGAAAACGAACCACGAGATCTTAAAATTTTATTCAAATTTTCAAGTTTAGATTTACCTTTGATCTCCGAATATTTGCAGTCTATTTTGGCTGCGTTGCTTCCATGAAGAGTCCATGTTAATGTGTTAGTGAGAAGGCGTAGAGTTCCGGGTTTTTTCTTGTATTTCGTATTGATTACTTCCAACAACCTCGAGTCTTCATTGTCGGCCACCATCTTGGATGACGGCATGTTTGAAACCGCTGGTCGGTCGGCCTGTGGTAAAATAAACCACAGGAGCCCCACTGTTGTATTTTTACCTCAAACCACAGGTAGCCCAAGCTTGGTTTCTGTGGTGTCATGTTATAAGGAAATGTATGAGGATTCTTCAAAAATTTGAATGAAAGCATTGAAACGTGATATAAAGCCTCGAAATTTTACCCGATCATTGAAAGATAGCACTTCTTCTGCTCTGTGTGGTTGTTTTTTGAAATTTAACCCGTTTTAAGGATTTTCCCCCCCACCAGTAAGAAATAAGAGCTTTTCATAGGCACGTGCCCTTAAAAATTTTGTTGTCGACCTCACTACTCTCCCACTTAGGAATTTTGTCTCTTTTAAAAAACCACAACCAGCCACCCCAGGGGCTAGTTTTGTTCTTGAAAGATTCTCCTACAAAGTTTTCCATGGCCGACATTTTTACGCTTTGAATTCCTGGTTAATTTTCCTTGAAAAACGAAAGATAACTACAGATAATCCAAAATAATATCAAGTTTAGTGAAATTTACTTATTGTATAGCTCGCTTTAAATCAAAATGCTTCTTTCAGAACGATAATACAGGCTAATATTTGCTCAAGACCGTCTCTCATAATTGCTTTACATTTTATGATTTTATAATTTATCCCGATATATCGATATTTTTTAATGAATCACCATTTTTTTAAAGAGAAAATTAAAGGTGATCATAACGCTTCTTACGGCAAAGACCACACCCTGGAATTTGCATAGCAAAATATTTATTTTGCTTCTTAAATCAAATAGAATCTTAAAATAGATATTGCTATGTGCCTCATGTTCCTTTGTGAGTAGACTTTGAAGCCAAAACAGTTAATATATATACATAAATATAGGCTATAAGACTATATTGTCAAGTTCAAGAGAATAACGAGTCATACTGAATGAATTTTAATTGTTTACTATGGATCTTAATTCTGACTCTTGAAACCCTGTTCTCCTCATCGATCTTCGCTTGTTCGTGAAGAAAATACTGCTCGAGTAGATGATTCATGAAGAGTAAACCAAAACAAGCTATTGCTATGAAGTTCATTGAAAATTCTTAGAAATAATCGCTTTGAAATCATCGCTATCTTCTCGGCTTGATATCCTTGTTTACGAAATTGACAAATTAATATTTCTGGTCGGCTGCCTTGAATTACGGCAATCTCGTACCCAAAGCCTGCGTTTCTTCTGGACTGCGGCGAAGAACGAGGGCTCTGGCATAATCCATCTTTTGGCGCRTGCGCAATTTTTTGTAAGTGAAATATAATCCATGAAAATCATGCTTTCAAACAGAGTTCTGTGTTCATTTCCGATCAAAATAAAAATTAGAAATCGAGAACATATTTTTTTCAGTTTTGGCAAGTCTTTGAACGCCTTCCCTGCGGAAGTCCAAAAAAWCCTGGTCTCAAAAAATGTATTATGCCAGAGCCCTCGTTCTTCGCCTCTGGCCAGAAGAAACGCTGGCTCTTGGTACGAGATTGGAATTACGGCAGTCAACGAAATAGAGCATGCGTAGACATAAACCTCTGCTACGCGATCTGCTAGCTCCGCTCTCTCATAATCACTTGATGACAACATAATGGCATTGATTGACATGATAATTGATTTGGACTATGGAAGTGAACCCCATAGTAGATGCCCGCAAAGGTCTCTTGGGTAAATTCCTGAAGACCCCTGGGTACTTCGCGGAGGAAAAAAAAAAAAACAAAAACTAAGGCATTTTACGGCTGTGATATCACAGGTATCCCAGTAATGAATCGATTTCCAAAACAAAGGCTTATCCAACTTTTCTAACAATTCTGCATACTTTAATATTTGTCAGGAAAGCACACAAAAAATAAATAATTAATCAGATTAATCCTGTGCTCATCAAAACGTGGCTAAAACCTTATAAGGCCCTCACTATAGATATTACTGTCAGTTCTTCCAAGCACAAAAACAAGTCAGTACATCAGCCAACTATTCCATCACTCGTTTCAAGTCTTTCAAGACCTCAAGAAAAATGGAGATTACTAAACCTTCAAAAATTATCCTTGGGTTCAAGTTACTGTTTCTCCTTTGTCAAGTTTCTCCCGTTTTTGGTAAGTAGTTGCAATATCTTTTTAGTGTTTAGCTGTGTGCTGATAAGACCTTTCCGTCTTGGCCTAGATGACCTAAATCGCTATCCCCTTTGGCTCCGAAAGCCTTTTCAAAAATAGGTGTCAAAAATCCAGAAAACATAAAGCGTACATCTTTGTATAATAATTATTTGATATATTTATTTCAAGAAATACCTTTAGAAAGCATTAATGCAAGAAACACGTAATTTACAATTTCAGTCAGAAATTGGTGTTTTATTCCACGCTGTGTATCAAACACATTTTAACTTTTGCATTAGAGTGTGATTTTATTTAGTTCAGTTTAGATTAGTTTATTTGTCACAATATAAATATATACATTTATAAAACTTGAGACATACAAATTTTGTGACTGGCGAAGAAAACAGAACTTTCGTCCCAATTGATATTACCTCTCCATACAATTTACATACAGTACAAACATGATTAACATTTAAATCGACGAGGAAAAAAACAATTATAAAAAGAAAAACATATCAAAATTTATCAAAATTCAAATTCAAAAGATTTTAAGGTGGTAAGTAATGTTCCATTTTGGAAGCAAAATGGGTGGTCACGAGTTCCTTAAATTTGGAAAGGCTTGCATCATTCATTTTACAGTGTATTGGTAGCGAGTACTATAGCTTGATAGATCTAGGTAGAAATGAGTTAAGGTAATAGTCCTGTTTGAAGAGATTAAGTTATTGGAAATTGTTTTCGTAGTAGTTTGTTGAGGCAAACGTAGGCTGGACGGATTTCACAAACAATTACTTCTGCGTTTCCCTCAAGATCTTTCCTGCGTAAGTTATTGAGCAAGGAAAAGTCATCCTCCCCTCTTTTTTAATCTGTCTCTTGTGTGAATGACAAAATTAGCGCCTGGTAGAAGTTCGCAGTCCAGTATAGATGGTTTAAGCCAGGATTCAGTCTCTGCAAGTGTATCTACATCTGCCGCAAGTGTTTGAACTTAATCACGTTTGTATAACAGTACTCCTTGCATTGASGTACAGACAATTTATTTTCCTTGAAGAATCAGCATCAGTACCAGGATTCAATGCTTCAAGCATGTATGAGTTTAATCGCAGGATTGAAATTTGCCACACCGTTACTATAATAGTTGATAGTAGCTTTAGTTCGTTTGATGCGGCGAGAATAAGCGATGACTTTCCTGTTTCAAGATGTCAATCCATTCCCTGTTGTATCATCTGAATCTTATATAATGATGACACTCCATAGTCTTATCACAAGTATTGATATGCAGACCCAAACGGAGCGATGTAGATCTTTGCCGGTTGTGAAGATTTTGTTTAACCCGAGGAACGTCTTTCCATTTCATTTTCATGACAGTTCTTGGAACAGCGTTAATTTATCCCCTTTATTCAAACAAAGTTGTTGTCAGTAACAGTGAAAGTAAAACAAATTAAAAAGAAAATAGAGTGAAGTCATTAGAGTGAAGTCATTAAACCCATGCAATAGTAAAGTAATAAATAATAAATAATGAAATAAAAGTAAATTCAGTGGGGGATTTGCCAAATGGGATCACAACTATAATACTTTATAAGGATGAGTCATTGTGCGTCTAAAGTTAGTGGCGCTGGGGAATTGATGGGATTACAACTATTGTATTTCATTAGGATAAGTCATTGTGCGCCTAAAGTTAATAGTGGCGGGGGATTTATGGGATCACAATTATTATATACTTAATTAGGATAAGTTTGTGTGACTAAAGTTAGTACCGGATTAGAGTGTCTAAAATAATACAATTAACGGAATTTTTTCTTAATTTTTCTGATGATGATGACTTCGGTCGAAAACGTTTACACCTTAAAACTTACTTCAAATTTCTTAGCCTCTTTACTTATGATAAAAGACAAATGTTCTAACGCGTATTATGTCACATTTCTTAATTAAGTTGAAATTTCATTGTTGATGTATTAAAGATTGTACGTGGGTTGTACTAGAAGTTACAAACTTCTTGGTGTCCAATATCAATGCTCGCAGGGTCCAACATCTGCTTTCAGGCCTAAAAAATGTTTAAGGTTAAGTACTTAAAAGAAAAAGTTGATCAAAAACCAATTTGAAAACACAACTATCAGATACAAATGTTGTTAGCCTCTAACTTTACCATCGTAAAACAAGGACTATATTATTTTAAAGACTCTTTTCAACTTAAGTCTTTTCTCAATGACTGGAGTTCATGTGGAGTTGTCAAGGAACTTTAGCGCGGGTTATACTTCGTCGCCTTCTTGCCAACTGTGCGACTCAAGGAACGTACCTGAGTCATGCTGATGCTTTAGAAATTAGCTAAGAAACGATGCATAAACATCACCAGGTGATTTCGCTTCTCTCATGCAACACGAAGGAACGAATTGAACAAATCCGAACTTAATATTTTAATAAAGAACGACCTTATATTCTATTCAAAAATAAATAGAAGATAAATATCTTCCGTAGAAAGATTGACCAAACATCTTTTAGACATAGCATATTTAATTGCTGGCAAAAAAAAACATATCTTGTTTTGACAAGAGATATTAGAAAATACCTGTAAATGTTTGTTACAAAAAATCACCTGGGCTGGTCTAGTACCCAGAGCTCCTCGGTCTCGTTCCTCCCCAGAAAAGGCTCTGGTAGCCGCGCATGCGCCAGCTTCTCAATCTCAATTTATGCTAAACGCTGATTCGTGATTGGTGGAATCTATTCGGTGCTCAGAACATTTTAGATTTAGAATACTTTACGCATAAAGACGGCTGACTAAATTTACCGAAGGCTCTTCTGAAAATAATTTCAATATGGCGGATTAGAATGCAGGATTTTGACCTTCWAAGAATAATTTTAGACAAAGAAATCAAAATATATCCTTTTTCTACTTGACAGAGGATGCTAGGGAGTGTTCTGTGGAAAATTTCAGGTTTATTTTCGAACATTTACGTCTGACCTTAAAATTTGTGCGTTTTTCTCAACTCGAATACTATGTACTTATTGACTGAGTGGGAGGGCCGTACGGGAAAATATTTGGCTCGAGGTGATGCTGTACGGACCGAGCGCAGCGATATAGTTCATATTCTATTAACTATGTTCTGTATAAACACATTCATTTGTTGGAAACACTTAACCAATCAAAATCATTGATATGCTTCTGTTATTTTAGGGTCTTGTCGAAACTTGGGATTCATGGCCATCATCAAAAACAAAGCATTAACCAATCACACAATCCGTTCCATTCAGCCAATCACCGACGCTAGACTATGTCGTGCCAAATGCTTCTTAGAATCGCGGTGCTTTGGAATTAACTTTTGTGTTGATCAAGACAACACCGCTACATGTGAGCTGACCGACTCAGACCACATTCGAAGTGAAAGAGACTTGGTGAACAAAACTGGATGTACTTTCTATGGAACAGAGGTGAGGGATATATCACGCGTTTAGAACTTTTTTTGGAAGGAGGAAAACCTGAACACGTTTTATAACAGTGAATAGCTACCGGCAAAAAGAACACCACGCGGTGAATGGATTGAGGCCGTCAATCCGTTTATTTTCGTGTCTTTTTAAATCAGTATCATCTTCATCATCGACAAAACATAAATGGTCTTCATCACCATCATCATGTATCATCATCATCATGTATCATCATCATGTCATCATCATGTGTCATCATCATGTGTCATCATCATGTATCATCATCATGTATCATCATCATCATGTATCATCATCATGTGTCCTTATCATGTATCATCATCATGTATCATCATCATCATGTATCATAATGTATCATCATCATGTATTCATCATCATATACCATCATGTATCATCATCATGTATGTATTCATCATCATTACAATCATCATTGTGTATCATCATCGTGATGCATCATGTCTTCCGGTACTCATTGGTATGTATCAGTATGTATCATCATGGTTCATCATGTAACATCATCATCATCATGCATCATTACCATAATCATCCATCATCATCATCAGTCATGTATCTTCATCTTCATCATCATCATCATTTTTATCATCATACTATGTGTCACCATTATCACCAATAACTATCAACCTAACCTCTGTGCAGAGAAAGTGTGCTCTATTTTATTTAACACTGACTTCTCTCAACATCTTTTCCCCCCAGACCAGCTGTTCCAGTAACCCGTGTCCAAGTAACGCCACGTGTGAAGGAGATTTCCTACAAGATACCCAACCGTACAAATGTGTCTGTCCCGCAGGATATACTGGTCGAATGTGTGAAAAAGGTAAATTGCTTTGTTTGTCTTAATGACATTAGCATTTCCGGATTTACAGAAGGCATTGCATCATGGGGCTGTATTAGGAGAAGCTTTAATACTTATATGGCGGGGTGTATGTTCTTCACTTGCTGGCTGGTAGTGAAAAGTGATGCGGAAACCTCATTTTAATGGTAGTGTTAATTTTTAAATTTCYTTCGTTTCGTGATGAATGCAATGTCACACYGACTGACGCATGCGACGCATTTTTACGACTACGGAAAGGCTAGAGAAGTCTAATTTCGTACGACTGTGACAAGCTAGCGGCACGAGCACGTGTGCCAGACCAATCACATTRCACCAGAATTTACTCTTCATCCAATCAAAGGCAAGAAACAAGGACACGGCACTGCTAGGCCAATCAAAATTCAGCCAATTAAAATACTAGAAAACGTCACGTTCGCGTCAAGGCACGCATACGTCACTTCTCTTGCTCACTTGATAACCATCTTTGCTATGTACAGACATCGATGAATGTGTACTGGGTACCCATGCGTGTCACGTGAATGCAACGTGTTCCAATACCATCGGAGGTCACCAATGTGTTTGCAAGAATGGTTTCCAAGGCAACGGCTATACGTGTAATGGTAAGGTATCTTGAAGTTCAAAACATGCAATGTAAATTGAATGTATATTTCGAAGTTCTCATAGAATAATGGCTTTGTACCATCATTACGCCCGAGCCGACGTTTTTCACGGATATATGGTATGCACTCTAGTCCGTTTTTCTCACCTGATTTAGAGTAATTTTATCTTATAATATTGTAATACGCATTATAGTTAGGATTACATCGCCAACTATTCCGGTCATGCGCCCGCGTACAAATGCAGCGGTGTCGTTTGAAAGTGTTAAGCGAGTTAAGTCAGATCTTACAAAGAAATGTATAGAGAGTCAAGATAGTTTTCGATTTATAAATTTCTGTGTAAACAGTTTTCCACTTGCCGGGGTAGAAGAACAATATATAACATTAAAGCATTTGATTTTTACCAAACATACTTTAATTTGTTTGGAAAAACCTTTTCGTCTCGATAGTTAGATTATAACAGCCTTCTTGCCATAAGTGCTTTGTTAAATTGCAAGAAAAACACAAAAGGTCAAATATTATAAACAGGATTTCTCAAAATCAGAACTAGTTACCTCATTTGCCGGGGTCGATCCTTAAAATACACACATTCTAAATTACTGATGTCGAATCTGTGGTCGATTGA